CGATGTACAGTTGTATTTATTTGATACCGACGCCTCAGCGAAGGTGTTACTCCACACTAAGTCTAGGACGTTTCCATCTCGATGCGTGGGTACGCCGGCTGAGGTTACTAACTGCATGTCCCGCGCTAGTGCCCAGTCCATGATCTGGTCGCCGCTGCCATATTGCCTTGGTGCCTGGGGTTGCCAGTGTTTCGAGACCGCATTGAAGTCTCCCCCGACTACCGTGGGGCCTTGGGGCGTCCATTGGAGTAAGGGTTCTAATGTACCGCTTGGCCCAGGTGCACGGTATACGTTTACAAAAGTCAGGCCAGATACTTGAACGAAACAGTAGTCCAAAGTTTGTCTTGTGGGAGCCGTATGTATTTGTGAGGCTTCGAGACCTTTCCGGGTAAAGGTGATTGCTCTTGGGCGACCGCCTATATCTCCGATGGGCTTGTGACTGTGAAAACCAGGATGATTTTTCGTTTTATACTCCCCATCTTCTTGCAATGTCCATGGTTCTTGTACCATGACAACGTGCGCTCCTGCGTCCCACGCCTGTTGCAGCGCTATGTCCATATTAGGTCCGCCCTTTCCCACGTTCACTTGGTGAAATAGAAGGGTGCTATATTTTCGGTTGTGCTTGTGAGAATTTGGTGTATTACTCATTATCAACCATCGTTTCTTCTGGTATATTAATGACCTCGCGGGCCTTACCTTTTTCTTGAGATCTTAATATTGCGGCCTTAAAATCTCGATGTCCTCGCTCTCGAATAATTCGTAGCTCTGCCGGTGATCGTGAAGTCACTTGGCCATGGTATCGCCTTGGACGGGCCATGCAGTCCAAATGTGTTGACTCGTGTGGTCCAGCACAGTTTGAGCATTTGGGAATGTCGGCTGTGCATTCTGCTGCTTCATGCGTGCCCGAGCATTTCACGCACCGCTGTCCTTTGACGCAGTTCCTTGTCGAGTGATAACCCCAGCAGCGTTGACATTGCTCGATGGGCCGTTTGCGAGAGAATGGTATGGCTGGTCCACTCTCGTCGAACAGCCTGAACTTTAGGTTGGCTGGTGCCTGTTTGAAGTGTACAATCCAACTGGTGGAGTACTGACCCAGCTTTATGTCATTTGGGCGCGCCTGTATTGGCGCGACACCACACACTGACTGGCATTCGGTCTTCACCATTTCGCTGGTGACTGCTATTCTTCCGTCCAATGTCCGGATGTTAACCGGTACATGAGGGACCATGACAGAGGTCCAGTCTGAGGCAGGCTCAATTGTTATGTCCTCCTTTTGGAGAGAAGCGCCAACACTCAGGATTGTTTCTCTGAGTGCGTCTGATGCACACTCAATTGCTAGGCCAGACCTAACTTGTGTCATTGCTATGATGGCTGAGGGTGCGACCCCAGCTTTTTCAGTTACAATCTTCTTTATTGTGACAGGTGACAACTTCCGCCACTGGTGTCCTTGACCTAATCGGAGGAACAGTCTTTTGTCTTCTTTGGGTGGTTCTTGATTTTTCGGCTTTGTATGCACAACAGGTCTATGTTTGACCAGATTAACTGGCGGGTCCGGGAGCTTGGCCGCCTTCCGCGCTACAGTGACCCACGGGGAAGCATTTTTGCGTGGCTTTGGAGGAAGTTCGTGGCGGGGTTTCTCGGCTGGTTTTGTCGCCCTAGGCCCAGGAATTGGTTATTGGGTGGTTTCGGGTGCTGGTTTCTTGCCTATGTTAATTTTGGCATTGGTGTTGCCTATTGCAAACGCTGTCACAATAGGTGAAATGTTTTCTATAAGTGGCGCAACTAGGGTCGCGCCTTCAGTTCCCACCTTGGATTTTGCCCAAGCGTCAATAGTATGCAGGAAATCTTGAGCTACGCTCATTCGCTGCTTTCGTTCGCGTTCTGATTGCTCCATTGCAGCAGCAATCCCAAGAAGGCTCGGGTGAAGGTGGTCGCCTGGGTCGATCGACGCCGAGGACGACGGCTGGTTAAACGCAGCCATGATGCTGCTTGATTCTGCGCGTAATGCGATGGTTTGGAAGGTTTGATGAACGATGTTATGTGTGATTATAAATTGAGAAGTTGAGGGGGTATATAAATTTATATAAATTTATATAAATTTATATAAATTGAGAATTGAATTGAATTGAATACATTACGTATCAGGCTTATGCCCTACACCCAATAGGCGTGATACGGGTCTGTGCTCCATGGGGCCACACTACAACCTAGGTACATAGTTTGCTTCTCAGAAACTATTTGTAGAAGACATAGATAATTAATTAAATTTCGAAAAAAAAAAACGCCCTGCGCCTTTTCTCCTTCCTCGTGGCCCTTAGTCCTGTGGAAAATTTCCTCCGGCAGGACTTAATCCTCCCGGTTTGCGCTCTGCATCTCGTAACACTTAGTTACTGTTAAGAACTGGAGAAATTTACCCCCTCCCTTTTCTGCCAGCATCTCCCGTCCACTCGGTGGTGGTTCATGCTTCTCTTCTCTCCAGTGCCGTAGAGCAATCCGACATTCGGCAAAATGCCAGGGACGTTTCTCTCTTCCGCAAACGCATTTGCAGTTTTCCCATTCGTGGCCAAACCTTTCATGGTAGTTCCTAAAATCACCATGTCCCGTCCTCGCTGCGACCAAGTGGTGATGCGCCCACCTCGGAAGTGCTAGCTCTGGTGGACGTTTTCGTTTCATTCGGAGATCCAACTCCTCATAGCGGCTAGGTCTATGTTTTAGCCACCAGGATTCCACCGCTTCTTCACACCTTTGCCTGACAAACCGGTTGAGGGCTGCGAAGGTGTATTTAAGTCCGTCCTTAAATATAAATTGAGAAGTTGAGGGGGTTTTTACCATAAAGGTTTATATGACATTAGTTATGAATACTGGCCTTTGACCCTAAGGGGATAGCGGGTATAACCTAGGACCTAAAAATAAAAATAATAAAAAACACAACCCATACTATGTTTACGTGATAGATAGATCTTTTGACATTAGACACTCATACTCTGGATTTCATTTGCAAATACCACTGTAAGGTATGTGTGCTTACATAAATAGTCGACTCTCCTCCGTAAGTACCCACCAAAGAGACATTCAAAACCTCTGATTATCCAAGCATGCCTCCGTCACCCACGCGTACCAGCACCGCAAGAAATGTTGTTTAGTTTTGCCGAGTTTAAACTAGCGGTCACCTGTCTCCAGTGGGAAATGTGTCTGAGCTATCTAGACTCTACCTGGAAGACAGTCCCAGATAATGTACTACCGCACCATCTAGCCACGGTGTTGTTTAAAATGTCGCCTTCAGTCTCGCAACCGAAGTCTTGGCGCACGGACAAAGCTCAATCCGTAAAATTTATTGTCAAAATTCGAAATTCGAAATTTCACGGCCGTCGAGATTGTACCCATCCTCTGCATCATCTTGTGTACTTTTCTTGATGCCTCTCACGTCCATCCCAATGAACAGTCTCCCAGATTTGTGCGCCACGCTTTGCTTCCTCCGTCGGGTATAAATATCGGCGAGGGCGTGTTTTTGGTGACCAGCTGATGCCAGAAAAAGTCGAAGATATGTGTGATCATTGGAATGAGGATGCACTGGGTCGTACCTGTAGACTTTATGAGGCTTAGATAGCAATCGATCTCATTGGGAGTGAAAGATTGACTAGGTGGAGTATTTTGGATCATTGCCTTGTGGGCCAATTTCTATCGTATTGTGACATTTGACTGAACTCGGCTCTTGGGAAAACACTTCACTCCCACATTCGTAGAGGATACTGCTCACAGGTGTTCAGTCAAGCCCTCTGTGCTGGGGCCCTGCGTAACGGCAGAGTATGTAAGGCATCCGGCTTCTGCTTGGTGGCGGATGCCCGCCTCAGAGAAAATACTCCCGATAGCAATGAGCTGTGATTTTGTCTCTGGTGGATTACGGGGTTATAGCCGTAGCTTATATGTTGAATTATCTGCTGGATAAGGGCTGTGATAGTGCATCTTTGCTAGCTAGCGCACCAGATATTAATTCTTCATGTTCCATACATCACTTGAATACCGTTGAAGCATTTTGTAGCGCAATGTCTTTCCTCTTTCCCAGCCTCGCCAATGATGTTTGGATCGTTGTAGGAGTTATTGGAAGCGTATCTTTGAGTTAGGGTGAGAATATTCAGCACAAATTTGAAGAGATGTGATTCTGTCTTAACTCTGCAGGCTCAGCAGTGAGAGCTAGAGTCGCCTAGGGGACACCGCTGACAGGTGAAGAACTTCCTTCCCTCTGATCATTAATTCGGTGACTCCAGTTGTTGAAGCATTGTCAATCACAATGGATAAGACGGGTATCTAGCTATTGGAACGAACTGCAAGGCGAAGGGAAGGAATGTCTATGGTTGATGCATAAAACAATGCTACTCAACGGAAATAGGCAATTTGAAGTTTTAGCTCTATTAATTTAATATTATTAGATCAGATCAATCAGTGAACTGTTACGTTATACTGAATACCAGTTAGCAGGGATAATCGAGAATTGGCACGTTGAGACTTCAATAGTAAATTTTAAACACGTCTTCACATTGGAATTACATGTTATCTCATCTTTCATTGTAATTCGGCTTGTTGCATCTTTCTAACTGTATTTTGAAGGTAAATGTGAACTATAATCTAGAGCGAAGATTGATGTCATTTCTTCGTTAAGTTTGACAAAATATCGCTTTCTGTACACAAAATTTGCATTGGAATGTAAGTATTACCACTTTCATTTTCTCAGATCACCGCAACTCACTTTATGTTCTTTTGAATAAAACTTAGCTAGTTGATAGATCGCGAAACAGTTTTGTGGATTACTTTAACTACGTACAACGAGTGGTGGAAAAAACAGGTAAATTTACTCGCTTGCCGCGCCAAGGACCCCGCCATAGCGATTCTTCGTCACATCGTCTGGCTAGCAGCGAATCAACTACATTTGCCGTGATAAGTTTCCATCCACGACTTTTGAAGTCTCCTCCATACAAGGATTAACACAAGAGCCGACACAAGTTATGAGAGAACTCGACAGCGAGACAGATAGCTGTTACACCAGTTACTGGAGAGACTGGGTGAGCCACCTTTTTTCAATTCCCCACTTCAAATCTCAATTTTGAACCAAAACTTCGAATAAATCGAGATCAATTCGCGGGAAGGGTTATCTGGGTAAAAGAACGTAAAAATCACGAAGGGCGAAAGAAAAACGCGCCATTATGTACAACGCATGTTATTGTTCCAAAAATTGGTCTAATCTACAACTCACGGTTATTCTTATACCACTCGGTCTACTACTTATTATTTAATAAGCAAGCTGCATGGCTTTCCCTTTTCATCTACCAATCTCGCCTTGTGACCATATCATTCTCTGGTCTACGTTAGTTGTACTTAGAATTCTCAACAGCAACATGACTATTTCACTGGACTGAGTCCTCCAGATAAATATTCTAATTACTGGGTTGAAAAAATATTACGAGTGTGCACAAAAAACTCTATAACAGGAACTCCTAGGTGACATGTAATTCCTGATAAAAAAGCAGTTACATCCTTCTGTGTTTTCTAAAAGAACTGTCGTGCGCGATGGTTGAAATTATCACTAACAACAGCTCCACAGTTTATTTCTTCACGTGGCAACGAATATTTCTGCGAAATCGACGAGGATTACTTGACAGACCGATTTAACCTCACTGGTCTTAATACGGAAGTTCAGTACTACCAGTATGCCCTAGACCTTATCATGGACGTATTTGAGCTAGATTGTGATGAGGGCATGCGAGAAGTGATCGAAAAATCTGCCAGGCACTTATATGGCTTAGTACATGCGAGATACATAGTCACGACTCGGGGTTTGGCAAAAATGGTCAGTTATCTTGAAAGGCTTAAAATTATCTAGACTGAGATATTCATAGCTCGACAAGTACAAAAAGGGAGATTTCGGGAAGTGCCCTCGTGTCATGTGCAAGGCACACCCTTTATTACCTACGGGTCAATCCGACAATCCCAACGTCAAGGCGGTCAAACTTTATTGCTCTAAGTGCGAGGATCTTTACAATCCAAAGTCTACCAGACATTCCGTGATTGATGGCGCATATTTTGGCACATCTTTTCACAACATTATTTTTCAGGTATACCCAGCGTTAATACCGGTCAAAAGCTACGAAAGGTATACTCCACGTATCTACGGGTTCAAAGTTCATGCACCGGCAACATTAATTAGGTGGCAAAATGGTCGCCGGAATTCCATGCGAAAGCGGCTACGAAAATTAGGAATTGATAGCGGGTTCAAGGATTCTGACGAAGACGATGTTGATGAATCAGGAGATGAAGATGAAGAGGTAGATATGGACGCAATGGAGCATGGGGAAATCTAATTTGAATATTGTGCGTAAAGAAATACCTGGCCCGCACGAAAATTATATGTTCATGTTCATCCATGGCTAGCTTTTTTGGATGCCTGTAAGTCCTGTTGATTATCACACATTTGCGTAAGGCGTTGGAATAAATGAAAAGGACCTAGAGCGAGCACAGTTTTGTGGGAATTTGCATATAAGCCTGGAAAGGAATTTGTCAGTTGGGATGAAGAATTTTCGGGAATGTTTAAAAATGAATGTGACCATTTCATTCTGGTCAGTGCATACAATTATGCTAGGGCTAGAGTGTAACTTTATCATACTTTTACCGTCGCTGAAGGTTCTAGTACTCACAAGCAGATGTTTTGTTGGGACTTACACTTCCGCCACGGGGAACCAGTTCCAAAGTTCTACACCTAAAAAATACACATCATGTACATAAAAATCACCCCGGGTAAGTGATAATGATAATCATAATTTACACTGTATACAGATAAAATCGCAGTCGAACGCGTCGCGAATAATAGATTGAAAATCGACTCGGATATTTAGAGTGACGAAACGGCCTTATACATATGTACAGATCTACTCTACCTTGATGTTATTTTTCACATATAAAAATGATTTATATCACGTGCGTTCATAATTTCACCCTGGCTTGTTGTTAAGTCTGGATCATTGCCTTAAAATTAGTTTCTTATTTTTTTTTTACTTTGGGCTCCAACACAATCCCGTACTTTTTCACATATGATTAAAAGGGAATAGGATCTGCCATTTCTACTTTAAGCCCAACTAGACATTCGAAGTAGCGGAAAGGTACACACAAGGAAGTAAGTTGCACGGTGATTCGGGCGTAGGGAAGTGCGCCACAATTCTCCCATCTGCACACCATGCTACAAACTTGCTAGGCCTTCAAGGTGACAAATAAAATGAATTTCCTTTGACGCAGATCTCTAACCAAGAGCTGCCGAAAGCTGCCACGATAATCAAGGGATCACCTCACGCGCATAACAATCTTAAATCGTCCCGAGTGCCTAGTGCCGTGTGGTACCACAGCATCAATTCTTACAAGCCTCTTAGTCGTCTTATCTGAACATAATTAATTAGAAAACATTCCGCCTCCAGCTCTGAGTAACATAGTACTACTGTATATTATTGGATATGTTAGATATAGGGATAGAGTTTTTGTTGACTCAGTATGGTAATTTGCAAAGATCGTGCAAATTTCGCACGAGGCGCTGTCAAAATAAAGGCGATAAGCGTAGGTTTCTCTAGCGATCTGTTACAAATAAGGTCTCTTTTCGGAATCAAATACACTACACTGAATCCTATCAAAAAGTCGACTACGACTGAAATATTTATTCCTCCTATTCTTAGACGCTAGCATACTAAATGCCTGCCAATGGGAGGTACTGAATGATCAACCGATGTAGTCTATTCCGATTATTCTCTCATCCCATGAGAGCTCGGGAAAGTGACTTCAGACCCCGCAAGCATGGATACGAAGTGCTATGCAGCTCTCCCGCATTGTCTCACTAATAGATCCAAGTATGGAATAGGATTGATGGAAAATGTTAACCTCACGTACATGGGCTTGAAGGGAGGATTTTGAATCATCAGCAGCTAATTTATCGGCATTCTCAGACGTAGCTGAGCCGCGTTCATGGCGTCAAATACGTTGATATACGATAATCTATAGCTTTGGGCCAATTGTTCCTTTCTGAAGGTTCAGCTGCTACTTCTGTGCAGTGAGATGCGAGGATATACGCTCGATGTCAACCTTAAAGTCGCATATGGTTCAGAGTGTGAGCTTAAAATTATGAACAATAGTGTAGTGCGGAAGGCAGGAGGAAGTTTTACATACGCAATAAAGCTACAAATTTTCAACACATTTCAAAATACATCTCGAAGCATATAGACATCTGCACAGCATATATTTTCAAAGTTAGAAGTATCGTATTAGTAGATTATCACCACGATGTAATGCCATTACCAATTCGGACGATGTCGATGAAACATATGCGACCTATAAGAGTCCTAGAGGAAACTCTACCGCTTACCCGTGCGTGCATAGTAGCCGGGCGCAAGCGAGACGCCTAATGATACGCATGAATAACAGCTCAATCATCAGTTCTACTAGAAGGAAATCCGGCTGATTTACAAATTGAAATCCTCGTCATGCGTCTGAGGTCCTTGCATGCTAGTCAAACAGTAACTGATGTCAACTTTACTATCCAAGCCGCGAGTGGCCACTTTCAGAAGAATCCATGCGAGCAGCCTACACATTACGAGCGAGGTAGGCCGAAAGTAACGGCTACAGACAAGCCAATAGGCATGCTTGACTGATATCTCAAACTATCTCTAATCATCTACCAGATTCCATGCACAGAAAAAAGAATTCGGCACACTACAGCCTCTGACAGTCCTCAAACCCGATGTTCCCAAAGTAGGAAATTTTCCGCATATTAAGAGCTTTACGATGAATGAGGAGGTGGGCTTGAATATCTTATCCTCATTTCAACTGCAGTCAGAATAGTTCTTTTCCGTATCAGCAAACTAATTACGGGACCCAATAACATAGGTATAGTGGGACCTATGTGCGGAAGCGGGTAGCTATTCTTAAGGGAGGGGAGCAAGTAGTGTAATGGCCACAGAGAGGTACGTGCAAGGCTAGCATCTTAATCTTAATTCCAGTTCCAGCTGCAGGGTGTCTTGGCACTACTTTCTTACTTTACGATCAAAGGGGCCCCTGAATTGCCTCTACAGAGTAACGTTGATCAGACAAACTCTGGGACAAATGAGTACAAGGTTTGTTGGACGTATAGCGAGTGGCCTACTCAGAGCCGAGCATGGAGTTAGCCCTGCAGGCTCAAAGACTGATGTTTTATTGCTGCAGTTACTTTGGGGAACCCCTGACTGGCCAAAAACAAGCTACATGATTATCGTGTCGATCATTGAAATAGACTAGAAGAAGGTACTTAATTGTTAATGTTCTCGCCGGCATAACAGTTCAGTGCAACAACATTTACACTTAAATCATTTTTCCCACGCTCTTTAATACAATTCATAATGCTAGCTTCCACATCATTCGCCGCACTTTTTTTAAGTCTCTTATCACTGGCTACTGCCGACAAAACTTGTGGACCTGGAGCAGGTAGTTGTGCAGCAAATGAGTGTTGTTCGGCCGCTGGATTTTGCGGTACCAGTGCAGGTAACATATACCCCATGACATGAAGCCAACTTTGTTCATTCAACTAGATTATTGTACTTCTCCGGATTGTCAATTTCGGTACGGACCATCGTGTGATGCGAACAGAGTACCCTCTGGAAGGAATACTTCTTCCATCCCTCGTGGAAAAGTTGGATCAGTAATGTACGGTGCTGAAGGAATCTACAACTGCGCCAACGCTGGAGACGTTGCGCTCACCTTTGACGATGGACCTGGACCGTACACGAGTCATATTCTTGATGTTCTTGATAGATACAATGCGAAGGCTACTTTTTTTATCTCAGGAAATAACAACGGTAACTTTATATATTTACCACAAGGAATCTAAACACTAAATAGATGTAAGGGAAGGGAGCTATCGACACGGCTAATCTGCCATGGCCCGAGCTAATCCGGTAGGTTTCTGTACACGAATAATTAAGACAATATTAACGTGAAGCAGGAGAATGTGTGAGTATCTGTCACCTAGCCCTCCCCTAAACATCAGAGATTAAAATTTCAAACTTGATACAAGCACTCAATCTGTTAATAATGAACATGTACTAAATCGTCTGACATGCCGATTACTACATTTATGTTATGGAATTCTAACAATAACGATGCTAACCCACTGTTCGCGTAGACAATAGTGGACACCAGGTAGCTTCCCATACCTGGTCACACGCCAACTTAGGCAATCTTAATTCGGCCGAGAGACATGACGAGATGTACAAAAATGAGATGGCCCTGCGCAACGTACTTGGCGTTATTCCCACTTACATGCGGCCTCCTTACTCATCATGTTCAGCTGGTAAGAAGGTTTATGAAATAAGTTTCAAGTACTATTAACACGCTGCACAGAATCCGGGTGTGAGGCTGACATGAATAATCTTGGATATCATGTTACATATTTCGACCTAGATACTCAAGACTATCTAAACGATTCACCAGACATGATTGGAAAGTCTAAAACAATATTTGATAACGCACTCAATGGTAGATCTGCAGCAGATTCGGATTTTTTGGCAATAAGCCACGATATCCACCAGCAGACGAGTGAACAACTAGTAGACTACATGTTGGACCGCCTTCGAAGTCAAGGATTCAGGTCTGTTACTGTAGGTGACTGCCTCGGAGACGCAAGGGAGAACTGGTATCGCCCAGACCGGAGTGCAGCATCGTTTAGGGCGAAATTTTAATAGGGGGTAAGACTTAAAAGCATTTGTCGTAGTTTAGAAGTTACGCGATTATAGCGTCTTCAGTGTAAGCTCTTTTTGTTATTGGGGTACAAGTCGCTGCGCGCATAATATTCCCTTTTTTGTACAGTAAATCATCCTTGACATAATTGAAATCGTTCCAAAAGTCTGGCTGCATTATCTGAAGATGAATATAAAAATCACTAGACCGGGTAATACATAGGATCATCTTAACCCAAACCTGGATACAAGAACCTGTGAACAAGTCAAATCAGTTCGAGAGCTTGATCGAGTCCCGTCGGTTTCGCACGGTTTTTTCCGCTTCCAAATTTATCGGGATTGGTTCACAAACTCATTCGGCCAGCTAAAGCTGAAGTATTTATCAGTTATAACCGCCTGATAATGTTATCGTCAAAAAATCCAACAATACGAGTTTACACAACTAAAAAAATAAAATGGCTCTTTCCTATTAGGTTGCGGAAGAGATTCTTCATCAAAAATATGAAAAAAAAGAAAAAATGGCTTGAAGCTCGCAGCAGTATCTCCTACAAACTAACGGTTCGCATTAAAGAACTTAGAGCTGATAAAGATTAACAAGTTAGCTAGCACGGCTTCTAGTCTTGATCAGCCTATCACCTCTACCAGTAATTAATGAGGCACTAAAAGTTTAATAGGGCTTTACTAACACTCCAACTATCACTTAAATTTGTTCTATGGCGGTAAAGGTAGAAGAGTCTAGAAAGGATGGCAGGCAAGATGGTATTTGAATTTCACAGCGTAGAAAAGACACAATAGTTTCGGAGCGAAAGGAAATGTTGACGTAAAAGGCATTATGTTCAGACTACTATTAAATCAATGAGAGTCACGCACCTTGGGCGCAAGTATTGGGAATACACAACCAAAGCCATATCATAACTGTTTGTAACTCCAAGGATAGAAATGCCCTATTACTTGTTAGGCCCTCGCTGAACCGGTGCTGATTTATCCCCTCGAAGCCTACAGTGCCACCTTATTACACACGCCAACCTTTATAAAGCATTCAAGATTGTGTCGGATACACAGGTTGATTAAGTGCACATAAGTCTGAAAAAGTTTATTCACTTCCATCAGAGGCCCTGTATTCTTTTTCATATTGTATTCAGCTATTTAGCTTTGTCAAGTGAGCCTCTCTATGAACATATCAGGACGAACGTGACCGCGGGCTGAGCCTTCATGTCACCAACACAAGAGTATTTCAACCCAGTAGTTTTGAAAGTCCTTCCCTACTGATACAGGCCGCAAATGGTTCCTATTTGTTCGGCTTGTGTGGGGAGATCACTGAGGTGAAGAGGCGTGTTAAGTTGAACGACCAAATTAAGTTTTAGGATAGCTGGTGATAATGGAAGAAAGCTATCGAAGAGGCCAGGGTGGAAGTCTACTAATCCAGACATCTTCCTTGACCAGTCGTCAAGGAATGACGACCAGTCATGCAGAATCATTGACTAAGGTTGGTCAACAAACTTTTGCATCAAACCTGATTACAGTGGGGTGAACATTTTTGGTGGAATTGCCTGATGGAACTATGTGCGCGAATATACTTCATACTATTATCTTAAAAATACGAATAAGGATAAATATTGTCTTCTTCATGTCTCAAAGGTCCTGTGTAAGCTTGCACAGGGTGATACCCACAGAAAAAGTTTCACATCGGTGTCCAGTGCACGTCAAGAGCTCCAACCACAGGATTTAACATGACGAAAAAATCAGCCCACACTACTTGTCCTCATCCGCCCGTCCAAAATTTTCTGAAGGTGGAATCCAATCTTGACAACCTGACATAGCCATACTCGCAAGACGAGGCTAATTGTGACAGTGATGAAGCGCTCACCGGCCTTACCGATTAGCTCTCGGCCCCATGTCGCAAACCCTTGAGGCTGTCGAAGTTTTAATGAGGATCGCTCCTGATCCAGGCAGGAAGCTGCACTTTCAACCTGCTCCTGCGCTCAAGACGAATCACCCGACCCCTTTTCGATCTGCCAGCTTGGCAGAGATCGAGCCCCTCTAGCAGTGGCGGGACAGGGCGTCCCCATGTCAGCAACACGCAAGTTCCTGGAATTACGAGGCGCAGCTGCAAAAATTGTTACCTCGCTTTGAGAATTGATGGACTGGAAAGAGAGAGAGAGAGAGGGAGAGAGGGAGAGAGGGAGAGAGGGAGAGAGGTATGTTTATTCTACAACTTGAGGCCAAGACTATCTAGCACATTGGGCTCCTCTCTGACACAGGCCACACCTTCTACAGTGCTCCTTGCCTCTCATGTGTCTTGAAAGATCATTGACATATTCCCCTTAATGAATAGCCATTCAGCTCTGTATTTACCCGAGGAACCTTCTACCCCAAAAAAAATAAAATAGAAAGGTAGCAATGGAAACTGCGTGCGCGAGAAAAAGTCTCAAAAAACCTGCGGCCCAAGCCACACAGGTGCGCATATCTATCTACATCTCCCTTCTTTGTAATAGTCGAGGCTGACTTGATCCAATTCACCATCTCCATATTGGATGCTGGTTACGCTTCAGAAACTCATCGGATGGCTTTTCCTCCATGATCAAGGGTGGGTGATGAGTAGGGCTCCGACCCTAACATCTGATCTAATTGTGGTTAGCTTCATGATAATGGTGATAGGGGAATGTGTTGAGAGAAGAGGACGATACAGACGGCGAAAGCGATTAGGAATTCTCGTCGAAGTGAGGACTTCGTTACTCAATCTCGGCTCTGCAGACTCTACAGTAAGAGCTAGAGGTTCGTAAGGGACACCACTGATATGTGTTGAGAGTGGTCCTCCTGATGGAGTGGAAAATGGCATGCCTTCAGCTACATCTGATTCTTACTCCTCTACTTGGTGTCAAATGATTACGCGAAAAATTCCTTGCTCCAAAGGATACTTCTACCTCTCGATTTTGAATCGTCGTGCATCCTCACACCGATAGTTTTCGCGGACTTTTAGTGGAAGGCTTCCGATACTCACACGGTATCAAGGATATCCGACAATTTCCTTGAAGACGATAACTCAACACCTGTCAGCAACGTCCTCTTCGAATTCCATGCTCCACTGTGGTGTCTGCAGAGCCGAGATTGAGTAACGAAGTCCTCACTTCGACGAGAATTCCTAATCGCTTTCGCCGTCTGTATCGTCCTCTTCTCTCAACACATTCCCCTATCACCATTATCATGAAGCTAACCACAATTAGATCAGATGTTAGGGTCGGAGCCCTACTCATCACCCACCCTTGATCATGGAGGAAAAGCCATCCGATGAGTTTCTGAAGCGTAACCAGCATCCAATATGGAGATGGTGAATTGGATCAAGTCAGCCTCGACTATTACAAAGAAGGGAGATGTAGATAGATATGCGCACCTGTGTGGCTTGGGCCGCAGGTTTTTTGAGACTTTTTCTCGCGCACGCAGTTTCCATTGCTACCTTTCTATTTTATTTTTTTTGGGGTAGAAGGTTCCTCGGGTAAATACAGAGCTGAATGGCTATTCATTAAGGGGAATATGTCAATGATCTTTCAAGACACATGAGAGGCAAGGAGCACTGTAGAAGGTGTGGCCTGTGTCAGAGAGGAGCCCAATGTGCTAGATAGTCATAGTCTCAAATAGTAAAACAAAAAACAAGCAAATTTTGCGAAGCTATGGTGGAAAGCGAACTCATTGTATGTGAGAGATTGATGTGGCGGAGTGTTTTGAAAAATTGCCTCGTAAGCCAACTTCTTTGCTCTTGCAAAGTTGGTCTGAACTTGGCTCTTGGAGAATATTTCGTTCCCAGTTTTACAGGGGCACCGCGGACACCCCCCCCAATTCAGCCTGAAAGAATCTTGTCAACTTTAACAAGCCACGATATTAAGCAAGATAAATATGACAATACATGAACGGATCGTGGGAATCAAGTTGAGGGCTGCATGACGTACGAAGAGAAGAACGAGAAACAATTTGTGTCTTCTCATACCTACTCAACACTTGAGGCATAAATCCTTGACGTCTATCCGCGGTATCCTCTGAGCCTGGGAATAAAAATTTCCCCAAAAGCCAAGTTCAGTCAAGCGTTGCAAAAGCAAAGAAGTTGGCTTACGAGGCAATTTTTCAAAACACTTCGCCACATCAATCTCTCATTTCTGACGAGTTCGCTTCCCACCAACGCCTCATCAATTTTACAAGGATGACCTGTTACATCCACATTTCAACGGCTTCACGTCTTGTCAACCTAGTTTCTCGCCTTAGATGGTTCCCAAATACACGCCGACGCTGATGCTGTTGCCCAAAAGAGAACAGATATCTCGCCGTCCATACCTGTAAGATGGACCTTTGCGATGAAAATGTGAGATAGTAGAAAAGATGGAAATGATGCACCAAGGACAGATAAAATCATGAGGAAGTTGAGAACCTAGTAACTGAGGAGATTCCGACTTTTAAAAGCATCATGCGCGCCAAGCCTTGCATATCTAGAGAGCAGACAACACCAATCACGCTTACTTGGCTAGATAGTGCAGTGGTACATCATCTAGGTCGCTCCCCGAAGTAGAGCCTGGATAGCCTTAGCATCCAATGCGCTTGAAACTTGAGATAACTAATTCGCGTCCGGAAAAGTTTAACTGATCATCTAGCGGGGCTGGTGTGGGAGGACAGCAAAAGTCTTAAACCTTCGATTTGGTGGGTATCCACAATCCACAAAATCGGATCGGTTCTGATTGAACGAACATACCTCTTATTGGCATTTTCAAATCAGATCCAGACTAAGATTGTCTCTGGAGTTAAAAGAGGCACCCTACATTTACAAAATGCCGTGAAGACGTGATACATGTAGGCAGCCGCATACAAGTTTTAAGATTTAAAGTAAGGTTCGCTCGCTGCTGGCCGATCATAGTCACCCACTTTTCACAATTATATTCATTCATGTAGTGTACGCCAAAAAAAATTTTTTTGCATCAGATTTTATTTGCGTATGCAGCTATCTAGCTATGACACAATATCAAAGAAAAGTACAGAAAAGATGACTCAGTTTATAGGAGGAGCACTCATGCCTCGGATTTCTTTTGCAAGTACCACTGTGAAGTTATGGTGGCTTTTTCTTCACCCCAAGTCAACCCTCATCCGTGAATGCCCACCCAGGGAAACGTCTCAAAAACCCTGAGTTATCCAGACATGCCTCCGTCATCCATCAACTTTTCTTCGCGCGAAATGTAATCTGAGATGTCTCTTTCCCAAGTGGATTAGGTGCCCAGGCTACTCAAACTATACCAGAGAGCACCACCAGGAGGCGGATCACATCACCTTCCATCGTCGGCTTGTTTTTATAGTGTCAGCTGCACTCTCGCAAGCGAAGCCTTGGCGCGCACAAAGCTCAATTCGTAAAACTCTGGCCAAAATTCGAAATTTCACGCCTGTCGAAAACATATCCCTCTTCTGCATTATCTTATAAACTTGTCCTGATCCCTCTCACGCCCATCTCAAAGAGCTATCTTCCAGATTTGCGCTCCACGCTTTGCTTCCTCCGTCGGGTATAAATATCGGCGTGGGCGTGTATTTGGTGACCAGATGAGGCCAGAGAAAGTCGACGAGAGGTGTGGTCATTGGGATGAGGATGTACTTGGTCGTACTTGTAGACTTGATAAAGCTTAGTTGAGAATCGGACTCTTTGGGAGTGAAAGATTGACATGGTGGAGTAATTTGAATTTTTGCCTCGTGGACCAACTTCTTTGATATTGCGAAATTTGACTGAACTTGGCTCTGGGAGAATATCTCACTCCCAGGTTCGTAGAGGACACTGCGTACAGGCGTTCAGTCTTATCCTACATACGCCAAATTTGCAACTGCCTGTTAGTTTTGATCGATTTTTTTAACCGCCTGATTATTGTTTTTGAGATTTCTCTAATATACAATTTCTGTATGCGAGTTGAATCTAGACGCGAGGTCCAGACCAGTTATAGTTTCGAATCAGACGGTGCTTTAACTGGAAGCTTTTGGGATCTGGGTCGTCTACGTTCAGTATCAACATAATTAACAGGTATTTGTTTGGTTCAGTATTTGTGCCACTAGGGTCAAAGGCCGCATAAAAACATTGATTTCCTCTCTGACTTAGGTTACGTCTTGTTCAATCTTCCTATTCCTCTTATTTACGAAAAATGTTCTTGTTATGATGCCTATAGTTGATCGTCATTGGCTCATTAATTGCCAGTAGAATTCAACCATTATTTCCGTTTGTTCTTGTCTGAGGTTCCTACTGAATTAGAGTAGTGGTACTAGAAATAAGTTAAGCTCTCTAGTTGCGTGGGTTGCGGGTGAGGTAAGGCTGAAAAAAAGGTATGTCAAGTTAGACGAGAATTTGTGCGATCTAGTAATCTACGAGGGATAGATGTCATTGACGTTATCCCTTAGCTTCTTTTCTGGCGCTCTATCCAGGAACGGGATTCCTCACTACATCTTCTCGGAGATTTTGGAGGTCACACCTGATACTGGAGAGTAAGTATAGAAGTAGAGGAATGAGGCCTGTTAGTTATGATATTGTTGCTGATACAAGCTGCTGTACGATGGTCATTTCTTTTATCTCTTCTTAGTAAGCAAATGTTTTGGGTGTGATCAGCAGTTTGGTCATTGGAAGCCAGGATATAGTTTCAGCCACAATTAATTATATTTCAAATTCGTTTTCATTGATGACCGGAGTCAATATTTTCTACTTTTCAGCCAACAATTCGTTGTTACTGATTGATTAACACCTATGTGACTTCGCGTCCCCATCCCAATTAAAGACATTATACTTGAAATCCGGAATTCTTAAGACAGAAAATAAATCTTTACAAAGTCTTATATCGACGCCCTGAACAATCCTTGATGCCATTGACACCTAAAGGGTGAAATACAATATATTCTTTCCTCCTTAGAGCGCTAGAGCCAAACCCATGATTCCAACTGCACCAGCGACGGCTCCCTTGGCGTATTCGTTGGCCCAGATACCGGTTGGGGCGGCACCGGCAGTAGAAGAGCTGGTTGAGGAGATAGGTGATGCGGTAGTTTTATGGGTGCTGGATGTAGTTGCAGACGAAGTCTCGCTCGAAGTTGATGTTCCGTTATTGAAGATACCAGTTGATGATGGGGATGAAGTTTCGAGACCAGTACCATGTGGCATAGTGGCAGATGTTGCCATAACGGAAGTAGTGTTGGAGGGTGTTCTAATTTTTATCAGTTCCATGTTACAAATTTATTCATAATTATCGATGTGCGGAATTCTTACTCAGTCCGTTTGTTAAACTCGGGGAATGCAGCCGCAGAAGCGCATAGAGAGGCAATTGCAATGATAGAGATACGCATTGTTATAAGGTTCGAGAACGAATGTAATAGTGTAGGAATGTAAGAAGATGGTTTCTGGGAGATAGTTGAGATTAGTTTTAGTTGTATGTTGATGACTTCCTTTGTGGGGGCACGTCAGACATTTATACTCTAACAGCGCTTGTGAAATGCATTAGTGCAAATAATTAAGTATAAGGCTCGCTACAAGAGGCAATGAGATCCCTTCTTTCCTCCCCAAGGAAAAAAACAAACGGCTCCCAAAAAACGATTTTTCCATACACGAGGTCCATGCAGTCCCTCCTCATTATTCACGACATCCAGGGCATGAATCGACGCTCGTAATATCCGAGCGCAGAACTCCCTTGTGCATCTGATACGTCGATCTTCCCCATCTAAACCTGATTATTGAGGTGGAAAGACTCCATAATAGTCAACATTGCCTTTGAGGTTCCTGCGGGAAAACCCTATCTAGATACCAGGAATAGCCCTGCCGGCTAGGCATGGTGAACAACGGTCAACCGATCTTGCCCTCACAAGATGGGTCTTGCACTCGATAGAGCTCTTGTGAATGAAGGCCGTGAGTGTGACACCGTCACGACAAACCAGGCGAAAGTTGTTGGAGAAAAAAATAGGGCTATCAATGCAGGAGAAAACACCAGGCCTTTCTAATGCCTATCCACTAGGTTAGGGGTTACCGGTCATGTTCATCTAGCCTACTTAGCCCCGGCCTTCTAGCCGGGCCGTCGCTCATGGTGAAAACACCTTTTCCATACTTTGCCCTAGGAGCGGCATGGACAGCTGCGTTGCTATTACCGACCTGTAGCTCGCAAACTGCTTGAAAGATGAGATCGGCATCCAACAATGTTACGTCTCATTATCTTTGCCACGACGGAGGCTCTACCCTGCGCCCCGAATGAAATGGCTTATGCGACCCAGCAGGTCGCGTATGTTTGTGGCTGAGCCCGGATGAGAGGCTTCGCGGCCCATGTTGCTAACCATCGGCATGTGGACAAGATTCCCACGGGAATATCATGAGTTTTGATGCTGATCAGTCTCAGATTACCATCGGAGATCTTCTCTGATTATCCGTTAAACGTCTTCCCAACAGTCTGCGCATCCAAACATGTTTACAACAAACTGTCATGTGAGCTCTGTGATTCAGTCTAGATTGTCCACACGAAACCTACACTTATTATCAAGGGAAAAGCTAGCTGCCGCTTTCCACGTCATATGTCAACGGACGAAAAAGCGTCGTAATAATGCCATAGTATTTGAGCGGATTGAGTAGAAAATTTGGGAGACTCTCTTCTGCACACGACAATGTAGGCAGCTAGCACCGGTCATGTGTCATAGCTAGATAGCTGAATACACATGAAATGATTCAAAAAAAAAAATTTAGGCAGCTTCGTGCGCTACTAGAACGTAGTACATGTGTATAGCTCGAACAGTGTTGCTTTCACTTTACTCTAATTTGCGGTTAAAACCAACGATAAAAATGGAGCTAAAAGCCAGGCTTATTTGATAATTAAATGGACGGATGATAATATCCACCCCTTATCTGAAAGTGATATATTATAACGAATATTATTACTCGTCACGATAATGAACGCTCCCAACTTAATATTTTGCATATTCTAATCTCAGAAAGGACAGTTACTAACCCTCATGACCTTTGGGAAGCTAATATCTCCATTTTAGTAATCTACATTTTTATTTGAAGTTGGACCCGAAAAATTGTGAAGTAAAAATATCAATAGTAATAGCCAATTCTACTTGGACATATCATAGCAAAAATTAATCATTGTAATCAAACATATTTGAACCTACAATAAGTTACCCCGGTTGAGTAGTTTGTAACATAGACCTCTGTATAGAAAAATTTTAACAAAAGGAACAGAGTATCTACGTTGAATGTCGACAAATTGCTTAGCCCGATGATGAATGTCGGTGAGGGAGGGGAAAACGCGAGATAGCACTATAAAGGATTTTCCAGACTGCATGTTCTTTCGTAGCGAGTCATAATCTTCTTTACAGATTAGCAGTGATGTAACAGATTTCTGAGTACAATCGATTTAGTATAAAATTCAGTAGAACAATCCAAACTGTGTGCTTGCCAACTCATCTATCCAACCATCAACATCAAGGAAAATTAATTTTTGGTCTTCTATCAAAATGTGTGAGTTGAGTAAATCCCGACGTCCACTATCTTTGGGAATGTGATGACATATTTATTGGAAATAGAATGCTGAACATTGAGTGAGTACATGATACGCAACCTTCCCGTGATAATATCTCTTGGAATAGCTCATACTTTTGTACAAAGCAGGGGAATCGTTACACTACAGGTCTACCACTTACATAACATGATAGTGCAAGCAAGATCTATACGGTCGTTTAATCTTGATTAGTGTAGATGTTCGTTTACTGCAAAATAATTTGCAAGACTATCTAATCCACAGTTAGTGACCTGAATATGACACAAGGTGTGCCGCTGTGGTAAGACTGAATGCCTGACTGTATGAGGCAGTCTATTCTTGGATGTGTAGGAGAATGAAGGATGATGAGGTTGTGCCCGACCAGGTAAGTTGACTGATAACAGTGACGATCGCATATGAAGGCGGGTGATGAATTATTAGGAAGAGGCCGTCATACCATAATTATCTTCATCATCTGTGGCTGACTTAAGGAGCCAACAACTAAGATTCTTAGCAGGGACCGGGTTTAAGCCAAAATTCGCATTATAACGACGTTGACCTAAGGGTCTAGGATCTCAACCACACCGACTATCCGCTCCTCGTAGGCACGGTAGATGAGTAGAATCTAGGGTGGCACCATATTTTGGCTTGAGTACGGAACTTTTCACATCAGAGATATGAGAGTAACATGTCTTATTTTGGAGGTGCAGGCGGCCCTTCAAATCCGGCATAAACAGCGGCGGCGTGTCATGGTGGCATGTTATAGGGGTCGGTCTCACAAGTAAATTCTCTGTTTCTTGGCACTTTCCATCTATGTACGAAGAATAAAAGCTTCACCTTTTTCACTCATCCACACATAGTAAGTTGAACGCAAACTCTGATGAATGTCGCATTTAGAAATACACACTGGTGAGTAACCACCTGCGAGAGTCGAGTTTAATTTGAGGGTAAAAATATTTGGAAGGAGCTAGAGCTTAGGTGAAGGATGTTTGTATCTGTAATTTCACAAAAGTCACTTATTGATAAGGCAAGACACCGAATATGTGACGTAGATACCCGGCCGAACAGACATAGATGAGAAAAAAGAAACAAAAGCAATGTCGTTGCTCTGGTTACTGGTGAGCCGTCTCGCCTCCCTGACCTTCACATGAGCTCCAGGCTGCGTATGCCCGACAATGCCTAATCCTGTCTCGGACCCGCATTGACTAGTGTTTTCTGAGGTGTAAGGAGACGACGAAGGATCGAGATGTAACATCACTCGACGCCAACGATCAGCCATTACGATCTCCAAGCCTTAAGCAGATAAACGTGACCAAGGCATCCGCTAACCTGCAATACACAATTCGAAGCATTCAATGACGGTCCATTCAGCGAGAGGCAATTAGTTCTCGCTCGAATTGCTGAAGTTGTGTCCGTGCCGACGCCCTCTGAGCCTTGAAGGGAACGCCTTCGCCACGTGGCGATCAGTCTCGCGCCAGGGAAACGCGATGGAAGGCCCCTTTCCTTAGCCTGCCACGGATACAATTGTTGTGGTCGAAGTCGACTGGCCCTACTGGGGCGCGTAAAGATGTGGAGCCGTCGGGTCCGCCCAACCCATTACGGCAGTGATCGAGATCGGACTTACGTGGAAAACTAATTTCGCGTCGATGTTACGCGCAGTTTTGCAACCAAGCGTCATCGTGTATCGGGAAGTCGGTTGAGTGAGCAAACGTGCTGGCTGCCAAGTCAAGCCGGGCTTGAATTGACTCCAAAATGGGACGACAGTGGATCATACGCCGTAGCTCTATATTTGGGACGGTTGCTTGTGGCCATGCCCGGACCTGGATGTTTCGCGTTTAGCATGGTGCTTTTATGCAAGACTTCGCCAGCCAAGTTCTAGAAGCTTGCCCATGTCCGGGGCCGGATGAGCTAGGCCGCTTTGAGCATAATTCGCACAGCCTGTTCCAGACAGGCCCATAAGTCTAGTTCAAAAGGAACGGCCGGGATAATCAACTGCACCATGATGAGATTTGTACGGACTCGGCGATATCTTCATGCCCGGATCGCGCCGTGGCGGTGGGGCCAGTAATCCCATGATTGCCGTCCGAGATCAGACATCCATCCGGTTTGATTCTTTGAGCAAGTTCCAGTTGTCGGCAAAGATTGGAGGGTCATGGCTGAAGATTCTAATTCTAATGAGACTCCTCAGGATGCAGTAACAGCTCAGAATTGTTGATCTTCTCAGACGTTGCAATGCCGACTACAATAGCGTGCAATTATACTCAACATCCTGCTAGAGTCTATCCAGATCTCTGTACACTGCATTGAAAAGATTAGTGTTAATCACATTACAGAACTATGTTTTAGCGTGCTTGTAGCATTAGGAGCTTCCTGTTAGGATGAGAGAGGAGATACGAACATCTTGCAGCTGTCCATGCTAACTTCGTGGGCACTCTATGATCATAGATTATAGGCGTGCTATGAGTTCATAGCCTGTCGTAAGCCACTCCGCACGAACGCGCAACAATATCGACAATCTTCAACAGCAGGAACAGTAGAAATTTTACGAAGCCCCCGGTAGCCTGACATCATCATTAATGGCCTCTTGTAATATCGGGGAAGACGAGCGCATGAAGTCTTTCACGCTAACCTCGATAAGGGGAGTGCAGAGGTAGTCAACAAATCACAGCATCATTGCCCACTAATCTAGACATTCCATTACTGGTCCGGGCATTTATTTTTCCTCGTCATATTCCTCGGGAAATCGTAACGTGGATAACTCTGACGTTAAGATTATGGTAATTGCATCTTCTAGCTCATGGACAGTTGACGTCACACCCGCGACCTCTGTATTCGTCAGCTCGAGTGCGCAAGTGCTGAGCTAAGTCAAATGATTTATCAATATTTCTAATTACAATAGACAAAACTGCAGGCCATGACAGAAGCAATAGTTAGAATTGCTGCACCACAGACCTAATTTAACTCCGTCACATCGTCGACGGAGAACGAAGAGCCAATTTTTACCTCTACCCTTGGAACAAAATCAATTCCATCGTAGAGCGGTCCACTAATAAAGAATACCTCAGTTAAATAGAAGCTATCTCATATATAATAATAATGATTATTCATTATCCTGATTTGGCGCCTTGAGGCCCATGCAGGTTTTATCGGAAGATATGTACTTGAAGTTGGATGACTTAATTTGACGTTTAGAACGCTAACACTCAGATTTCATTTGCAGATACCACTCGAGGTTAACCCTTACGGCGTATAACCTCTTCCGCGCATACCCACCACAGGCAAAAGCGTGCAAAACCTGTGGCTATCCGAGTGTGCTTTCATCATCCCACAAGTACGATATCACCGCAAGAGAGAGTGGCGTGTGGGTCTGACTGGATTCGAATCAGCTCTCTCCCATCTCGAATGGGGTAGGTATTCAAGCTACCCTGTATCTACTTGGGAGAACGGCCAGAATGGTGTACCACTGCACCATCCAACCCAGCTATCTCATATACTGACTGAGATTATCCACTCTCCGACATTCTTGTTAAAGACCCTCTCAGACCTTCAAGGATTTTTGAGACAGTGTGGCTACTCAGTTGATCAAATGGTAGATCTATTCAACGCTGACAGTCAGGTCAATCATGTAAGCTAAAAGCGTGCTGTGAAGCTTCTCTCTGGTTTATTCTAATGCACGTTAAATTCAATCAAAATGTAATCAAATCTATCTTATTGTAATCCTTTGTAAATATTGACATTCATCTCCTGCGAGTAACTAAATGTCGATAAGAAGTGCTTGAACATCTCATCATGGTGTATCAGGACTAAAACCCCTGCAAACGTAATGGGCTTGCCTGAGGCGTCCAATCAAACACCGGAGTAAATATTAAAACTGGAATCAGACCTCGAAAATATATCATAACTTATCACACAAATTAAAACGATCATAGGAGGGCAAGACTGAACACCTGTACGCGGTATCCTCTACGAACCTGGGAGTGAAATATTCTCCCAGAGCCAAGTTCAGTCATATTTCGCAATACCGAACAAGTTGGCCCACGAGGCAATGATTCAAACTACTCAACCACGTCAAATTTTTACTCCCAAAAAGATCGAATCCTACCTAAGCCTCATCATGTCTACAAGTACGACCTGGTACATCCTCATTCCAATGATCACACCTCTTGTCGACTTTCTCTGGCCTCAGCCGGTCACCAAATACACGCCCACGCCGATATTTACACCCGATAGAGGAAGTAAAGCGCGGCGCACAAATTTGGAAGACAGTTCTTTGGGATTTGCGTGAGAGAATTTGAAAACAAGTCCACAAGATGATGCGAAGGATGGATAAAATCTCGTCGTACGTGGAATTTGAAATCTGGCGAGGAGTTTTTACAAGTTGAGCTTTGTGCGTGCCAAGCCTTCGGCTGTGAGAGTGCAGGCGACACTATAAATACCGCCATGGTTGGATGGTGCGGTGGTACATCGTCATGGCCGGTCTGCCGAGTAGAGTCTGGATAGCCTGGACACATATCCCACTCGAGACAGTAGATGGCTGGTTCAAATCCGGCAAAACACAACCACATTTCTCACGGCGCTGGTATGCATGGATGACGAAGGCATGTTTGGACAACCAAAGGTTTTGAAATTCCCTTTCGTGGGTACTTACGGAGGAGAGTCGACTGTTTGTGTAAGCGAACATACCTCATAGTGGTATTTGCAAATGAAATCCAGAGTATGAGTGTCTCTAACGCCAAAAGAGGCATCCATCATGTATACATAGCACCGGTCATGTGTCATAGCTCTATAGCTGCAAACACATTAAATGATTTAAAAAAAAAAGAAACGATCTTAATTGAAACATCCAATCGATCACTGGTGTCGGAAGACTGGAAATGAAAATCCTTTCACGGTGAACTCCACGAACCAAAGAGCAGGGCAAACTTCGGGAGCAAAGTTCAATGAAATTTTGCAATACCGGATGAGTCAGCCTACAGGGCATTGGTTCAAGGCCCTCCGCCAAATCAATCTCTCGCTCCTGACGATTCAGGTCCCTGCCAAAGCATCATCCAGTTTAAATGTACGATGCAGTACGTCCTTCGAAAGATCATACCTTTCGACTATTTTCTAGTCTCAGCTGGCCACCGAATATACGCTCACGACAAAACGAATACCTGCTGGAGGATAAAATCCACAGCGCACATATTTCAGAGGAAGTTCTTTGCATGGACGTTATTACGGAAACCCAGTTGTCGATGAATAAATCGCTTCAATAAACTACACAAGGAGAAAAGAAAACTCTGGCTACTACTACTTACAGGTATTTATAAGATTTATTCCTCGTGAATCTACAGATAAGTGACTTATCCTTGCACACAATACTTCCTACCCAGCCTCGTAATTCTAGGTGTCACTGTTGTAATAACGCTTCAACCTCCTGACTAGCAGTGCCGTTTCGTTCAGCTTTATCTCCCCCCGTGCAGCCTTATCGAAAGTATTCTCAATATTTGGCTTAGGTATCCGCTTAAACCCAATCAACGTTCAAACCCTAAACGATGTGAGGAGAACCTGCGCGAGTTTACAAGATGATGCAAAAGATGGGAACAATCTCGACGGGTGTGATATTTTAAATTTATGCGAGTTTCAAAAATTGAGATTTGTGCGTGCCAGGACCTCGAATGCCAGAGTCTAGACGACATTTCGCGCAGATAAAATTTCATGGATAATTTTTTTTGAATCAGATTTTAATTGCGTATGCAGCTATCTAGCTATGACACAATATCGGAGAAAAAGTACAGAAAAGGTGACTCAATTTACAAGAAGAGTACTCATGCCTCAAACTTCAATTGAAAGTGCCAATGCGAAGTTTTGGTGGCTTTTTCTTCACCCCAAGTCAACCCTTATCCGTGAATACCCACCCAGGGGAACGTCTCAAAAACCCTGAGTTATCCAGACATGCCTCCATCATCTTTCAACTTTTCTCCGCGCGAAGTATGGTCATAGGCGTCTCCTTCCCAAGTGGAGTAGGCGCCCAGGCTACTCAAACTATACCGGAGAACACCACTAGGAGGCGGACCACGACACCTTCCATCGTTGACTTAATTTTATAATGTCGGCTGCACTCTCGCATTCGAAGTCCTGGCACGCACAAAGCTCAATTTTTGAAACTGGTATAAATTTAAAATATAGCACCCGTCGAGATAGTTCCCATCTTTTGCATCATCTTGTCAACTTGTCCTGATCGCTCTCACGTCTATCCCTAGGAACTGTCTCCCAGATTTGTGCGCCACGCTTTGCGCCGAGTCTTGATGTTGCGGCCTAGGGGCATCATGTAAGTAATTACCGTGATATGGTTGTGAATCTAGGCTCGATTGATACATGGATAATGGGAGACGGAACTGAGCCAAGAAGTCTCAGTTGTAGTCCTCGTAGCACTGGCGTATTTATGTCGAGTGAAGACTAGCACGGAAAATATTTACATGAAGCAACATCCTTATGGTAGGATAGTATCATTCACTAACAAGTAGAATCTCCTACCGACCGATTACATTCCATAAATTATTGACACTTCGAAGGCCGGAAGGCCAGCGATAACCCAGGTAGTGCTATTCATCACCATGACCTTTTATTCTATTGCAATAGCTAGAGAGAAAGTGCGTAGGCGTTGCACTTCGGAATATTGCTATGCCAATATCTGCGCAGCGATACTTATCATCATGACCGTCGAGTGATGGCGTATAACGTTCAGTGTTGTACACGCGTTTAAAGGAGAAGAACAAGTGAATAACTCAAACTGAAATTCGGCTTGAATTCTAGCGCCACGTGTATAGAGCTAGAATTGTACTGACCTTGGACTTTTTATGAGAATATGCTAATTCCACAAACAGATCTTCCAATTCTACCAAAATTGATTCAGTTGGAGATCTTAGACACTCGGTAGCAACCACCAGAATAGCTTCCCCACCCACAGTTGAAGATGATGACTTAAGCGGGAGATGCGCATGTAGCAGGCTTTTGTGCCCACCATGAGGCAAGCTACTTATATCGAGATTTTATTGAATAGTGTGATTAATTTACGGATAATTTATAGTTAAGCGAGATGATTGGATGTTGAGGTCACGGTTCGTGTATTGATTTTACGTAAAGATTCCTTGAAGGTAAATCGGCTCAGGAGTCGTATTGTATTTAAAAGAGGAAGTTACTGTTGAAATATATATTTGGTATCTAAACATGTTGGAACTATATCCTATGCAAATCCGCTCACTAACAGTTTCCTCCCACACCAAGTTTGGTGACTGATACTTCAACGAAGATGAAAAATTGTGGATTAGGACAGAGACAGACATCGTGTCAAACCTTTTCTACTTATCCCGCATAATAGAAATAACTAATAGAATAGTTACGATGGTGTTTTTTATTTGAAGTCAAAGACAAAGTTTTTTTTGTCTTTTAGCTATAAAATTTGCTGTAATTTAGGTATTTCTTCAGTGTCCTTCAATGAGGACTCTTCCTAAAGTATAGCGTCACTAGTTTGACCTTCCAGAGGATCATTTAGGTTGAAATTTCTCATTGCTTTTTCTAGTGCAGTCCCTGATTGATCTATGGCCATTAGAAAACGTGCTAGTTCTTTACACAAAGACCAATCCTCTGCCTCCTTAGCTTTGGCGAAAAGACGAGCTAGTTGCTCAGAGCTTGAACTTATTTCCTGGAACGTCTGAAGTATTATCAAGTAGCCTCCAGCAGTCTTCAGCAAGCCTCTTCTTAAAGACTCTTCGAAGAGCTCTTGTGCTGGTGGTAGGTATGCAAATAGCGTATGCCAAGATCTTACTTCTGTCTTTCTAGTGCACTGCACCACAATATCGAGATATTGATGAAAGTGCATTAAAAATGAAATAACTCTTGGTAATAGGGCTTCTTCTGAAGAGGGCTTTGTGTCAACTTCGAGATCTAGAACGTTGTGAAGAAGGATTTCCAGGGCGTGAGCGAAGTAGTCGAGGCTCTGATACTTTCGTGCTGTATCTAGGGCTGCGTTATAGTCATATCGGGAGAGATGAAATTGAAGTACTAAAGGGATAAGTAGATGTGTCTTATTTGATGTCAGTGATATTGCTTTACTTTAGAAGCTTAATTAGAACATACTCTTATGGTAAATTTTAAAAAGGCAAAGTTTACATCCCTTCGTTGAATGAGATCTGGCTCAAGGCCAAGAACTATCCCTTTGTTAATTAGTATTGAGAGGGGATAGAAATCTACAGGAATAGAAACCGTCGGTGGTAGATCACGTCCCGATAGAAATGAGTTGGATTGTAGAATTTCTTGGACATCTATCCAGCCTTTCATCTCCACACCTTCAAAAATCCATAAAGAGTCGTGAAGACTGTTTATCATGTCATAAGTTGCCTGTGAGCTATCTACCTTCCGCGACAAAGCTTCGAGATTTTGATGAGATTTAAAATTTTGTGTTGACAAGTCCCTCATTAGAATGTAGAACTCAACATTCTGTGCGATAATACGCATGTCATACTTGAGTATTTGCTCTTCGTTCAAAGAGGGTTGAAGTATCACTAATTTTCCATCGACAAGAAATAGGACAGTTGCGAATGCGATTTCTAGAGAGCGATCGTCTTCGAAGCGATCATTGTTTGGTAAAACCCAACTTAGACCTCGTACTCGCGCCGGTGCTCTTATAATTCCATGCAATGCTATTTGTCCCACTAGCTTTATTTTAAGGTGTCCGAGATTGTGCACAAATATAAAATGATAGAGAAGATTATCACTTGTATAAACTAGAAGGGAATCTTCTCCTGATGGTGCAATGATTACCGCCGGTGCCGCAAGGTTTTCATTTTGAAGCATAGAGATGTTGTTAAGGTCTGCTTCTCTGGAGAAGAGACGTAACTGATATATGTTTCCGTATTCAATGGCGGCAACTAGGATATTTTGATACCAGCACATCCCCCCTCGAACTTGAAACTCATTTTCGACATCTTCGTCAACAAAAGTTTTCCATTTACCGCTGAAAACACTATAGTGTGCTAAGCCACGTCTCCCTGCAACCGCGATGTACCTTCCATCTGGTGATATGACAGAGCAGCGCATAGGCCATTGATCATGCAGATAACTTGAAGGTATTTGAGCAACGTGCCATAACGAAGGATCCGTTGATATTGTGCTTAAGTCAGAAAGATCATACCCTCGAAATAAAGCTATTGTCGAATTAGTCTGCAGTAATGTTCGGAAGGTATTGGCAGGACCAAAACACCCAGTGATAGCACTCCTGGCCATTTCGAGCATCCAGATTCTATTATCTTCGATACCAATGATAAGAATTTCTAATCCTCCCCCTAGCCAAACAGCTTCCTTAACTCCTTCAAGCCATGTCTCACCCTGAATCTGAGAAAGTGTAGAGTCAATCCCAAAACTCGTTGCTCCTGGTTTTCCAAATACACTCCACATGGCCCAGCCATGTTGATACCCAGCAAATAAACAGTATCCGTCCGGAGAGTATGCTAGGCAATTTAATTTACCTGATTCATTCTCTGAAACGGTAGTTCTATGAATATGGGATGGTGGGATATTTCCATCATAGTCTCTTGCGGTGTAAACCCGAATGGTAGAATCAAAGCACCCTACGGCTATTAGGGAAAACCTGGCATTAATTGCTACCTTTTTACCGTAATTTCTGGGTGTGGTAGGGATATGAAAACAATTGCCTTTGAACATTTCTATGATATTTTCTGAACCATTCAAATTTTTCAGTCTCTGCACTGCATATGCTTTCCCATCACTTGTAATCCACGCAGAAAGATTCATTGGTCTGTCATGCACCATATCGATTATACTTATTTTTTTTGAAAGCCATTCCATTTTGCTAAATAGTTGCGTACTAGTTTGTCTTCCTGCGTCATCTGGTATCCATCGAATACACTGAATCGCGGCTGGCTCATGCGTCGCTACTACTAGTTCATCGTCGAGAGCCAACGCCTTTTCGATTCCCGCGTCAACTTGGATGGCCATTCGAAAACGAATACTGACTTCCCGTAATCCGCTTCCCTCGCCTGGTCCTCTTAAGAGACGATCTTCTCGCTGGTTCCTGCTGCCACTGTAGTCACTAGGTCTTCGGACCTGAGAGCTATTTGAGCCAATAAAAAAAGGGTTGTAAACCCTGCCATCTGGATTTGTTGCCAGAGTATAAGTAATGAGGTATCCAGAAGTTGTGTGGACTACAAATATTGCCGCATCCGGTCGCATTAGAAGAGAAACATTTGGACCATAAGTGTGTAATGACTTCTTGGAACGAACCACTACAGCTAGAATTGCTGTTGGCTAAAGATTTTATTAGATAATTAGCTGTCAAGAGAAATCTAACATACTTTTGTTTGCCATACTGTTAGAGAAACCGATGTAATAACCGCAAAGAAATATCCATTCCGTGATATCTTCAGAGAAAGCAACGGCTTACTTTCTGCATTAATGTGTGAGGCATCTTCATTGTCTCCTAGTGAGATATCTTGGTTTTGGCAATCTTGCTCCACGGGTTGGATATTTGGTGTCTTGGGTGTTGTTGGCTGAATTAAATCTGAACCCAACTCATATTTCTGGTCTTCTCCGCCCCCTACCTCGGAGGCCCTTCTCTCTGTATCTATACACAAATTACAGCCGTTCTGTGTTGCCACGTATAATGGGTTGTAATCCTCGGTTTCAGTATCATAATCTTTGGTTGCCTTGTTTCTGCATGCGGCGTATATCCGGGGTGCACCAGCAGGCCAGTACATGGCTACGCAATGCTACCGAGTGCTTCATTCATGTGGCTACATGCTATCTAAGGCGGCATGCGATCGATGATTATGAGGCCGTTAGATATTCACAGCCTATTTAGTGAGATATAGATGGTGATACTCTCAACCGACGAAAATCGGACTATTGATTGGTCGTAAATTAAATTATGTGTTGCGCCGCAATTTGTCAAGGCTAATGTCAACCCCATGCGTATTTATCAACGTGAGGACGGTCGAGCGCGCACCCAGTCAGGTCAATGTTGAACCCTCGCAAGGGTATACAAAATTATCAGAACTACAGGTGTGAATTTTATTCCCAAGAGTCAAACAGCCTAGCAACGCAATTCCAGCCAAACTACGGTAATATTTGTTCCAATAGAAAATATAGGCTCAATCTGCAGCAAGATTCTTGCCACGTCATCATGGCACCACCACCACGTCAGCGTCATAGTTACAGTATAGGAAAGACTAACTTTTCTGCCTTTCTTTCTGGCTTAAAGACACAATCGTATCATGAGCCCATGATATCACGGACTTCTACTCCACATAGGTGTGTGGAACTCAATCCCTTAGTCGATCAATCAACAGTGATAGTACTCAAATATCTTACGAGACATGATTCCATCAAAATTTTCTAGTGTGGAATGACACAACCTGACTCTTCAAAACCACACATTGACTATCTGTAGTATTGATGATCTTTATGTATATTTTACAGGTGTATCTAATAAATCAAATACCATTCACGAGCATATTCATGAGCGCTTGAGAAACTGATAAGCGCTAGCAGCATTCGTTCGATCGCCTGGAACCCTCTTGGAACTCTGATAGCAACAGGAGCATCTGACGGGACGATTCGAGTGTGGGTATTGCCCTAATCAATTTCCTCGCCCTTTTCATTCAAGATATTCAGCCGACTCTTGTAGGTGGAATCCAGATAAACCAAAGTCAATATATTCAACTGAACTAAATACGAGCCCCAGCAAGGGCCATCATCGGGCCGGAATCGAAAAGATTGCGTTCAACCCTATCAAAGATGCGGAACTATGCAGCGTTAGTAACGATGGAGTGGTGAGATTTTGGGATGTAAGATCTAAGGCCATCATAAACGAAGTTAAAGGGTTGGGTGAAGCTTTTACACTTGCATGGGCTCCCGATGGTGAAAGCCTAGTGGTTGGTAACAAGGTAATATCACTACTACAAATAAGCTTCTAAAATCATAGAAAATAACAGCTCACAGCTTGACAATATTTTTATTTTGTCCCCAACAAATGCGTCCATAATATCGACTCATCAGCAACAAGTCCAAACAAATCAGATAACGTTTTGTTACAGCGGTAAAAAGATATTTTTAACAACTGGCGAAGGTCGGGTCAAGATACTATCATATCCAGCTTTCGAGCCAGTGTTCCACCTCAGCTACGACCCATCTACTCCCTTCACCCTTAATGGCCACACATCTTCATGTTTGACTGTTGAGTTACAGCCAAGCGCACGCTACTTAGCAACCGGTGGGTCTGATGCAATTATAGCTCTCTGGGATACTACAGACTGGATTTGTCAGAGGACGATAGCAGACATGATAGGGCCAGTACGGAGTATTAGTTTCAGCTTTGATGGTAGTTACATTGTAGGTGGAAGCGACGAAGGAGTTGGGCTGGAGGTCATACACACTGAGACGGGTGATCAGATTCATACTATCAAAACTCCAGGTGGACAACCCTGCACAATTGTTTCTTGGCACCCCAACAGATACTGGCTTGCATATTCTGATCTTGGAGGTTTAAAAATATTAGGCGTAGATGTATCTACAGAGAGAAAATAGTGTAGAGTTTTGATAGTACCAGATAATATTCTTGACATTTCTATTGCATCGTACTACTCAAAGAGAGGCAAAGCTTGAAAACTGAAGTAATAACACCACAATAAATTTACTAGTTTGACATGAATTCAGCTATGGAGCTTATATATTGAGTCATTTATTATGTATTTTTTCTCTGATATTGTATCGTTGTTAGACGGCTGCTTACGCAATGAAAATCTGTTGCAAAAAATAGACTTTTGCTTATGCAGAACAGTTAACCCTCCCCTGAGTCCCCAGCAAAGGGAATAAACCATTTTTCCTCAAACATGCCCTCGTCATCAATGCATATCAGCACCACGAGAAATGTAGTTGTGTTTTTCTGAATTCGAACCAGCGATTTACTATATCAAGTGGGATAGATTTCCAATCAATACAGAATCTACTTGTGTCACAAGCCCCGATGATGCATCACCGCACCATCCAACCGCAACGGTGTCTATAGTGTCGCCTGCACTCTCGCCATTGATGTCGTATGGCGCACAAATCTTAATCTATCAAAATACTTTCAGAATTTTAAAATCGCACTCTTTCGATATTGTGTCCAACGCTGGCAGAATCTTGTCCGCTTGTCCAGATCTCTCCCACGTTCATCCCACAGTTGACTTCACTCCCAGATTTGTGCACCATAATTTGTGTCCTCCGGCCGGTACCCATATTCTTTTGGGAATGTATGTGGAAGCCATTTGAGGCCAAGGACTGATTTAACGAGAGATGTGGTCATTGAAGTAAGGATGAACTAGGTCGCACTTGCAGAATTGATGGGGCTTTAGTCGGAATCTACATGATTGGAAGTAAAGAATCATTGTCTCGTGGGCTAACATAATCTGTTTTGCGAGATTCGACAGAACTTGGCTCTGGAAGATTTTTTCACCCCCAGGTTCACAGAAGATACCGCGTGCAGGTGCTCAGTTTTGTCCTCCCCACCAGCTCTTGTCTTGGCTTCTATGTGGGACAAATAAGACATTCAGCGATGATTTGTTTGGCACAGCTATGACTATTTAGAAGCATATTCAACAACTCGCTTCATTCAGGACGTTAGAAAAAGAAATGTGTTTTTGGCTTACACTAATATCAATCTGTAGGAGTTTTCTCCAGATACTGTATAATTAATTAATTTTTTGTCCTGTCTAAGTCTATAACTATGTAGGACCTTTCTGCCCACAGGCCGCGAGTATCTATGCCTCTGGTAGTGTACTCCCTCATATGCCTCCTTCACGATTTCTTTCCAGCAGTAGTACCCCACAGGTCTTCATTCGAGTACACACTATGAGGAGCCGTTATCCCGTCATTATCTCCCCTCTCCAGCCAACCAAACGATGGCCATTTTCGGGTGTGTAGCTGCAGGGAAAAATATCAAAAACCACTGGGTGCGGGGCTCTCCCATGACGAAGAGGCCAGCCAGCCGGGCGCAGCAGACCTGTGTATACATAAGAGTGTCTATCAACCTTCCCTGCCTCTACCTTACTCCTACCCTGATTCATGTTGCAGGACAAACCGAAGATCGTGAAAGGAAATCAGAAAAGTCTTGGTCGAGAGTGACTGTCATGAAGGAACCTAGCCTAGCATCCAAAAGTCGTTACGGACGTGGGGTTGTCGAGTAACTCATGTATTTCAGATGCTCTCCTGGCCAGTAGATTCGGAATTAAAGAATGGAAGGGACGTTATTTTTGACGAGTCGAGATGTACTTTTCTTCAGAGCGGAAGGGTCTTTTACTTTGCTTTCATAGGATTTTTATTTGCCCACCGGTGGATAGCACATGTTGCAATATGACGAGGGCTTCTCTGACTACAGTTGTAGAGTTTGGTACAGCATTATCTTTCCTCATTCCCAGCATCATTATCGTCGTGTTGGTCGTCTTATGTGTTGTCGGAAGCGTATCTTTGACGGAGGGGGAGATAACTCAGCTCAAAGTTGTTAAGGTGTTACTCGATTTCAGCTCTGCAGATTCTACAGTGAGAGCTGGAGGTTCGTAGGGGACACCACTGATAGGAGTTGAGAATAATCCCCCATTAAGAGCTAAGTGTTACTAGTACAACGCAGTACAGAATGTGCTACTCCGGCTATATGAAGATGAACTGTATTGTTGGTGTGAATTATGTACACATATATTAGCCCTATCTACCGGACTTATAGCTTGTTAATCATCTTTCATTTTATTTCACATTCCCAGTGCCCGATTATCGCTTTCCACCCATTCCCTGTTATCCCTAGCATATACACCATTCCATATCTGTTCATAACCTCTTTACAACCACCATACCTGTCCCTTTCTTCCTTTCAGCTCCAGTTGCTTTTCATCTACCTGCCTAAAAGATTCTCACGTTATCCTTCCACTCACATCCCATCTAAATCCCACGAGCAAGTCAGATCTGAGGAGGACGAAGGCTGAAAACCTGTCAGTGGTGCCCTCTACGAACCTGGAGGTGAAATATTCTCCCAGACCCAAGATTCAGTCACGAAAAAAGGGTGGGACGAATTTTATTTGATGGATTTTCGGCTTAAAAGAGTTGCACTCGATATTTTGGTCGAAAAATCAGTTGGCAGAAATTTCACAGCCGCAAAAAAGTCGATTAAAAACTCATCACCACTAACACACGATTCACAAATGGGCCTAGGTCTATCTGGGGGTCGTATTCAAACATCCGGCATCTCTCAAACTCCTTACATGTTTGCCACGAAGCATTTCTTAGTCGATCCTAAACCTACGACCCACCTCCATTCTCGTCAAATCACCAACCTACACATACCCTAATGAGAAAAGTTATCATGAAAATGGGACGTTTACAGAGGAAAGAAAGGAAAGATACACCGAGGGGATCACACAAGTCCCCAATTACGACAACAACCTTTCGGTAAGATATAAAGTTTCAAAGCTAGAGAAACTGTGAAAGAACTAATCACGCAAGCTATTCGCACAAGTGAATCCAAAATGGATTTTATACTCTGCATAAAAAACTATATGAACTACGCGATAAAGAATATTGTGGATCCTGAAGGTGTAGATAATCGGGAGCTGGAGACGAGGTACGAGCGTCGTCTTACCACTAGTAAGGTAAGACCGGATCGCCACTCAGGGCAATAGCGTAGGATGTATATAGAGCATGGTAGTTGCTTAGAAGAAAGGTTAGACTACCTTCTGCTTATCTTAGACTTCGATATTGATCACCCCGTGAATCCGATATCGTGAGTCCCGAGCGATAACTGTCTCAACTACTTACCAGTACCCTCAAAAATAATTATTTTTATAGAGCAACCGCTCAACTAATAAAAAAAAGGATTACCTCATATTTTTATATCATCAATATGAGAGCACCGGGCGATTATCCAGACTCTTTTCTTGCTGAGGAAGATTCAGTCCCTCAGAAAGAATCGGCAACTACTTATCATCGTACCATAAAAGCCCTACAGCAAGCAACCGATGAAAGATTTGCATTTAATAACGGACGACTGGATAGACTTGAGAATAAGTTGGAATTGAAATTTGACTTAATGATGAAAGAGTTTGCCAAACTCTCAACTCGTCTGACAGACGCATCAAGATTTCAGGATTCAAGTATCAGCAATAATGAATCTTTCAAACCCGACCACGAGGCAAAAGTAGAAGAGAAGCAGGGACAGGGCAACCATCCCACTATATTGAAGGGCACACCAAATTCTATGACTGTGCCACCTCAACAAAACCCCTCCGACCAGGTCAGACTCCCAGATGGCCGTATTAATCTTTTTCGAACAGTTCCCCCGTTTCAGAACAACATGACAATCCAGGAGAAATATGTCAAAGATATCTGGCCAGAAGCAAAATTGAAGTTAGAAATCTTTTACTCCGATTCAGGGAGTTCTAACGATAGAAATAGAGTCTTTTTAAAACCAGAATGGAAATTATCCAGAGCATCAAATGATGTTTTCTCAAAGCTGAGTAATAGTCAGACCGCATTATACCTGGCAATGATACCTTACAACCTATGACCGCAACGAGTAGCCATCAAAATGGACGGTGATTTCTTTCTGGTACGACGGCTAATAGAACAATTCGATATATCATGGATGCAAACATTGGAGGCTATATTCGAGACTCTAGAGAATCACGAAATGCTTCAAGAACCTGTCCCGGAATTCGCACGCCTCGCTCCCTACAAGTATGAATCCTACTTGGATTATGCATGGCGTGTTCGAAATGGATTTTTCAACCTCCCAATGCACATCAGAGGTTCTGATATAGTCAGATGCATAGCTATAAAAAACCTCAAAACATACATGCCAAGTGTTTGGTCATAGATCAGGGAAAACCAACGACAAATGTCAACTAGCGAGCTGATGGATTGAGCTGTTAGACAGGCTAAGCACATCGCCCATTGCGAAATTGAAAAAGATATCTACAAGACATCGCCTGAATCAGTGGTCCTACAACACAACTCACAGTCGTATTACAGGCAAAGATTTGAGCCAATGACAAACGACGCGACGGGAGGTAATCCTAGACTAACAATTGTGGACCCCACAACGGACGATCAATTAATCGCAACCACGTCCGAACGCGCGTATCTAGAAAAAACGATGAATTCCTACTCATGTGGAAAAGCTGGACACATCTCCCCAAATTGTCCCACTAAAAAAGAGAGGATACCCCTAACATTAAGCCTGGAATGGAACCGCAGTGTAAAGGCCAAAAAGTTACAATCAAAGGAACTCTTTTTAGAGAAAATTCCCGGGTCGGCAACCTGATTCGCACAGCGGGAAAACGTCTATGGGAAGGAAAGACAAGTCAGGGTCGGAAGGTCTATTTCGTCGCATCCAACAAAGAAGATGAAGATATCAACAATTCCCCAGTTGACCGCATTGACAGAGACGACGATGTTGATTGGGAAATCGACCAATTAGAAAACTAAATCCTAGAACATACAGAGGATTAGAGTCCCGAATCCTCCTGCTTTGTGGCTGTAGGAGGAGGCCATGACACCCAGAATCGCAATAACCCGATTCGGAAAGGATTCGGACAGCCACATAAAACAACTCTTGCTCGCCTGGATTCCAATACAAAAATAATAATTTTTGAGGGTACTGGTAAGTAGTTGAGACAGTTATCGCTCGGGACTCACGATATCGGATTCACGGGGTGATCAATATCGAAGTCTAAGATAAGCAGAAGGTAGTCTAACCTTTCTTCTAAGCAACTACCATGCTCTATATACATCCTACGCTATTGCCCTGAGTGGCGATCCGGTCTTACCTAACTAGTGGTAAGACGACGCTCGTACCTCGTCTCCAGCTCCCGATTATCTACACCTTCAGGATCCACAATATGCTGAGCCTTACGTAAGCCACTCCGAGCTTGGCAACCAAATATTGCTACTTGAACAATCATTACACATGGAATCGGACAACTCCTATTCTAGCCATACAAGGCATATGTTACGAGTTTACCCGCTACTGGTTGTCTGGGCTGACCTACGTGCCCAGCCTTGCATTTAATTCGGACGTAGCGAAAGGCTGGGCCTTTCGCACGAACAATTTCTCTCTATAGTGCTTATGTAAGGTAATTGTCAGGGCGCACTTTATGTCCGCACAATCCAGTTATAGTTATCTCTCCCATAGAATAATATTAATTATTTATGGTATTGCTTGCGTGAAGTGACCGTCTGCTTTAACCCATCACAGCATATACAACCCACATCCTACATCCGCGACTCTCCAATTCAGTCCTACAAGTGGTTATTCATCGGCATCATCTTTGCTTTGCCCCTCATACCAAATTTACCACCGAGACCTCCATCCCCTCTACCTCACCCCCTACTTGTCTTCGCCCAAAAGGGTGGAGAGAAGTCTTTGACAGAAAAACTCTTGTCAAATGCCTCTGCCGCCGACACAAGGAATTTTGAAGCCACGATCATGTTCCAAAATTTTGCATGTATCCTAGATGACGCATTGAGTGATAAGAACACTCTCCCTCAACTCCTAAAACAACCATTCAGAGAGTCTATCGCCGACATTTTGAGTCCTACGTCAGAGGTTCTCAAAGACCTCAAACCCCATATTGCATGACAAATAGCACCCAGGTTCACAATGAGCACAGGCAAAAGCGGGTCAGTATAAATGATTCACTGACAAATTTACCAAAATCATGCGCAAACATAGCTTCAACCAACACAAGAAAGTAGCGCCCACAGCCCTGTCCTAAACCAGCAGCAGCTTAATTGAATACAAAACCCAAGAAACAGCCAAAAATTCAGCCCGAGGACAATCACCTATTAGTGCGAGTCGTTCCTGGCCACCCGGCTCTAAATACATCACCTTATGCCACAATACTGCTGTTAAACACATTTTTACAAGAGAAACTGGTACGTGAGATACAGACCACGAAAACTGGATTTGCAATATCTCCAGTTTCTACAGAAGCCCAAGATAAACTGGGCGCTCGAATTGGCGATATCAAAACCTCCCTCTCATCTTATGACGCTCTGTGTGAGCTCACAAGTCTGCGATATATAGTAAGATAGCTTATGGGCACACAGATCTAAGATTATGCCTTTTTAGGCCAGTTGGCACTGTGGTAAAGCTATCTAACTACAGTTACATGTCTTCTGCGTGGGGAATGTGGCACTTATCTCAAGGCCAATGTAAGGTTGAAAAACAGCGTGTCACGGATCTTTGGACAGGTGCTAGAGCAATTATGTGGTCGATGATAGTAGATAATAATTCTAAGGAGAGCACTACTTCACAGTCTATCTACACATGTATATATATAAAAGAGCCTTATGTTATACGACGACATTGCACTATCAATTAAGGAGGTTCTGACCGATCTCACATATTCCAAGCTGATGGCTTCTCACCAACAAGTGGTGCAGTGTTGAGCTGCACTGTTGAATCTGATGCTATGCAGGCTCCGATGCTCAGATACTAGATCAATCGATCGTGCGCACCCTAAATCGGACCAAGCCTATGTTAGCCAACATAGGCTACAGGAACTAGCCGTCACAAAGGGCCAGCATGTAGCTTACCGGCTTTCTGGACTACCTCGCACCCATGCTAATTTTGATGGGAGTACGGTAGTGATGAAACATACAACCGCATCTGTAGTAACAGGATGTCACAGATCAACTATAGAAAGCAAGAAGCATTTGTATGGATGACGGTATTTTATAATTCAACTATGAAGACCTAAGTTCTACATACTAATCCAGGTATATATACAGATTTATTACATTCTAAGTTCTTCCCTACATGGTCAGCTCATTTCTAGATAATTCCAGTTGCTACTCTAAGGGTATCATTTCTAGCAGCTTCTCCAAGGTTCAGTATCAGTCTTACTCACATGGAGACTTTTCTAGTCCCTTCTTAGGAGATTCTAGTATCTTTTACGTGGCTTTTGCGCCTGCCCGTTCTCCGGTGGTTGTACGCCAGTACTTGCCAGTACTGGCTACAGGAAATATCGGCTTTGTAGCCGTTACACAGGAGCTCTCACAGACCTGACAAATATAGCCCCTATAAATGTCCTCGAATGTCGTGGCTCCGATAACTCCGACTTTTCTCCTAAGAGTTACTAAATTGTCCTCTACCCTAAAGGACCAACGCTGCCTAAGGTCCTCCCACTATTCGGCGTTCGTATCCCCCGTAAAGGGTCTACCACAAAGTGTCAGGACACCGCAATGCCGAAAATATTTTGGCTGGCATAACGAGCGAGCATGCTCTCGTTTCCCTCGATGCAGAATCTGCTCCTCAATAAAACACCTTGAAAGTGGACACGTATCATGTGACCTTAGCAAAGATCATCTTTGTCCACCAAAATGTGTGAACTGTCACGGCCTCCACCTAGCTGACTCTCTAGAATGCCTAATCCGGCCTAGCAAAGATAATTCGCTACCGTCAAAGGCATAAACCTCCGAGATTAGAATGGCAGCTGCCGCAGCTAGGCTAAGATTGAAAGCAGCTCATTGTGTAACTACTGGGAGTCAAACTGAGACAACTACCCAAAAAAACATCAATTCAACCCAAGCTCGTCCCCACACCCCATCCCATATCAGCAGCCTTTGTGCGGAACCGCAAGTAATAACAGGTGGAAGATATGCAGCTCTGGCCTTAGATAGCTTTCAAGAAATTTCAAATACTATGTGTGCGTGTGTGAATACTGGCGTTGGTAGAGTAATGTTGTGTTATCCATGTAACTTACCATGGTACATGCTTTAGGTCGCGTCATAGCATATGCACGTGACTGTGGAACTAAACCGTGGGGTATTTAGTGTGTAATGCATGTGTGGGTATACTGGACCAAACTAGAACTCGATGGAATAGTGATAATGGAATCAGCGGGAGACTGATAGACTGAGAGAGAACGAGCTGGTCATTTCTCGTAGGAGAGAAATGATATCATAAGGGAATGTTCTAGCATTAGGCTGTGAACAACACAGTAAAGGGGGACTATTCTCAACACCTGTCAGTGGTGTCCCCTACGAACCTCCAGCTCTCACTGTAGAGTCTGCAGAGCCGAGATTGAGTAACAAAGTCCTCACTTCGAAGAGGATTCCCAATCGCTTTCGCGGTCTGTATCGTCTTCATCTCTCAACACATTCCCCTATCACCTCTACCATGAAGCTAACCACGATCAGATCAGATGGTAGGGTCGGAGCCCTACTCGTCACCCACCCTTGATCATGGAGGAAAAGCCATCCGATGAGTTTCCGGAGCGTACCCAGCACCCGATACGGAGATGGTGGATTGGATCAAGTCGACCTCGACTGTTACAAAGAAGGGAGATATAGATGAATATGCGCACCTCATGTGGTCCCGGTGTCTAGGCCTCGCCTGGCTGGGGCTGCAGGTTTTTTGAGACTTTTTCCAGCGCACGCAGTTTCCATTGCTACCATTTTTATTTTTTTTGGGTAGAAGGTTCCGTAGAAAAGGTGGCTGAATTCCACAGGTAAATACTGAGCTGAATGACTATTCATCAAGGGGAATATATCAATGATCTTTCAAGTAACAAAAGAGGATAGGAGCACTGTACAAGGTGTGGCCTGGGTCAGAGAGGAGCCCAATGTGCTAGATAGTCATAGACTCAAGTAGTACAATAAAACACACACACAACACAGTAAGTCTGGAGCAAGATATAAGGAGGTCTCAACCTCCATCCATTCATTGTAACTAAGTTTCCTTTATACGAGAATATAGAGTCAAGTCTTACATATCACGAGAACACACGCGACAGCGACTATAGAGACCTACTGTGAGCATAACTTCCCCAAGAGTATCCATCGTCCTACTCCCATATAGCCTAGTTAATATAACAAGTAACTATGGGGAAATTTACGGATATTAGTCACGTGGTATTAGTACGACGTTGGGGTTTACTTCCGTTCATTATTCAAGATATAGATAGAGAGATAGATTTACATTTTGATCAATGACCATTTTACCCAATATTTGTGCTGGCACATTAACTAGAACCGGTGATAAACCGACAGTGTGACAGTCGGGGAAGTTCTCAAGTTGGCTTGAGGTGCACTGTCAATAGTTTACAATTCTTCTAAAGAGAAAATATGTATGTACAAGAAGGGCTTATTTATACCCGCGCTCTCCTCCAATACGTGGCCCGTATAAATTCCTAAGAGCGGACAGATGTACCTATGGGGAGTTTAGATTTCTGCATTGGTGTCAACTCCCGACGCTCGCCCTACCACTCGGCTACCTTTCAATCAGTTTCGCCGTGCCCGAAACAATCCTCTCTGAGCCCATCCGAGTGCTGTTAACTTTCTCAATAGATGTCCTGGCACACGGTCCACTACACCGTCTTCTGATTATGTCACTCCCCGTGCTCGAGGCAGTCCTCCCTGCGACTGTCCGAGTGTTTGCTAGTCGTCAGAGCAGTAGAGTGAGTTTTCCATTACCTGACGTCCCAGCGGGTGGAAAGGGTGCCTATGTTAGCCAACGCAGGCTACAGGGCTTACTGTCGGTTCACTAGCCGTTACACTCTCCAAGATCGTACCGATCTATTTCTCTCTTATCTGTGCTAGGAAAAGGACTTGAGAGGTGAGTGGCAAAGCGAATGTCGTGGATAGCTATTAGGTATTAAGTGTTTGCTGGACATCAATTTGGGGCATTACCACTCTGTTTAAGTGTCGACCTCACTACCTTGATGACTCATGAAATTGAGACTGCATTATCAGAGGGGATGACTGCCATAGTAGCCACACTTGATATTGAAGGGGCCTTCGATTCAGTTCTCCCGGGCAGGCTTATTCGACGTCTAAGGAATCAAGGCTGGCCATGACAACTATGCAATTGGGTTTCTTCATTTGCTACTGAATGCAAAGTTTGTATCCGCATTGATGAGGAAATTGGGGAACCAAGACCCATAACATGTGGGCTTCTTCAAGGCTCTCCAATTTCTCCAATACTATTCATGCTCTATATAGCTCCTCTCTATAAGCTAGATGGCTTGAATAGAGCCTTTGGATATGCTGATGACCTTGCAGCTCTGATGATATTTCCAACTTTGAAAGAGAATGCCGAAAAATTAAAGATTGCAATCAATCAGGCACTATCTTGGGATGAGACAGAGGGAATAACCTTTGATCCAGGCAAGTCAGAGCTTCAGCACTTCACCAGGAAGCAAAGAGATAAAGATCTTAGCCCTGTGATTGAAACTAATAGCTTCACAACCTCAGAGAGCAACCAGTTCCCATATCTAAGATGGTCGGGGATGGCACTTCGTCAGAAAGCTTACATTTAAATACCACATGTAGATACAGGCTGCAAAGGCTCTCAAAGTGGCCTGTGCCCTCAAATGTCTAGGAAACACTACCAGAGGAATCTCACCCAGACTCCCTAGACAGGCGGCTATTGCGTGTCTCATTCCAATTGCACATTTTGGGGCTGAGACTTGGTGGCCAGGTTAAACTAGAACGAAGAACCAAGAACGACAAAACAGTGTGCAACAGGGTAGGTGCACAAATAAGTACAATAGAAAGGGTACACCTAGCCACTGCAAGGTTAATTGTTCCAGTCTATCAGACCACCCCTTCCATACCTCTTCTTAGAGAATCTGA